TTGTAGTAATGAGATCGGCCGGGGCAATTATGTATTTATGGTTGTTGTTGATCCATTATTTCAGGTTATACGGGGACATTATACTCCATTAAATGAAGTTGTTCTAGAAGAATTGAATCTTCCGGGTTTAACTGAGCTTAGAGGTAGCTGGCATGGCTCTCTTGATGCAAGTGGTGGTGGCAATGGGGATACAATGGTATATATCTTTCCCATCCTTGCACGGGTTCAAATATCAAATATCAAATATCATTTTTCTAGAGAATTTAGTTATGAATACCAAAATTGCAAGGAGATTGGTAATCATTTTTTGGACAACTGGATGTTGGGACACAAATGATAGTGAATCCTATCCTATGAAGTTCTGCTGTCCTATCCTATGAGGTTCTCCTGTGCACTCATATTACAAATTGATGATCACTTGAACTTTGCTCCTTGATCATCCTCTCAGTTGAAGGAAAAACCAACTTTTAGATAATAAGCATAGCCTTTTGTTTTAATTGTTGCTAGTCCAACTTAAATGTAGCAGTTAGACCTGGAATACATAGCTACCATGGTTACTTTTTGAATCTTGGCATGTAGGCTTTGTCCTCTAAAAATTGGTTTTATCATTATATATTTTTGTCAGGCAGAATTTGATTTTCATGGGGAGGATTGGGAGTGGGGAACCTACAAAACTCAGCGTGTTCTGGCAGTTGGTGCATACAGCAATGATGATGGTTTGCGCCTGGAAAAGATGTTTATTCAGAAAGATAATGCTACAATTCACGCAGATGGGACTTTGTTAGGGCCTAAAACGAATCTTCACTTTGCTGTTCTAAACTTTCCTGTTAGTCTAGTTCCTACTGTGATTCAGGTGGTCGAATCTTCTGCTACTGATGTGGTTCAATCTTTACGGAAATTTTTAGCACCAATTAGGGGTATATTGCACATGGAAGGTGATCTCAGAGGGAATCTTGCAAAACCAGAATGTGATGTGCAAGTAAGGCTCCTGGATGGTGCCATTGGGGGGATTGATCTTGGACGAGCTGAAATTGTTGCTTCCCTAACCTCAACCAGTCGTTTTCTGTTCAATGCAAAATTTGAACCAATCATCCAAATTGGCCATGTTCACATTCAAGGAAGCGTTCCTGTCACTTTTGTTCAGAATAACATGTCAGAGGAAGAAGATTCAGAAAAAGATAAAAGTCGTGCAAGTTGGGACCATGGTTGGGTAAAGGAAAGAGGTAGGGGTTCCGTAGATGACTCCGGTGAAAAGAAACTTTCAAGAGAGCGAAATGAAGAAGGGTGGGATACTCGATTAGCAGAAAGCCTCAAAGGTTTAAACTGGAACCTTCTCGATGTAGGGGAAGTCAGAATAGATGCTGATATTAAAGATGGGGGCATGATGCTGTTAACTGCCTTATCTTCTTATGCTAAATGGCTTCAGGGAAACGCTGATGTCATACTTCAGGTGGGTCAATTGAATGTTGGTTTTCTGCATGCCTGTAATTTCATATACTGTGTTTCTTTTTCCTGTCAAATTGCTCTGTTATGGTTCAGTTTAAGGCCATCATTAAAGTTTGTTGAGGATTGTAATATCACTAGGTCAGAGGCACAGTCGAACAACCAGTGCTGGATGGATATGCATCATTCCACAGGGCATCCATATCATCACCAGTTCTCTGGAAACCACTCACAAACTTCGGTGGCACAGTTCATGTGAAATCGAATAGGTTATGCATCACTTCGTTGGAGAGTAGAGTAAGCAGAAGGGGGAAACTGTTTGTAAAAGGAAACCTGCCCCTTAGAACAAGTGAAGCATCCCTTGGAGATAAAATTGACTTGAAATGTGAAGTTCTGGAAGTACGTGCAAAGAATATTCTGAGGTACTTATTTTTGTTTCTTATGATTGAAAGGCTAAGTTCATTCGCATCGTTAATAGGTTGATTTTGGGATTCTTATGCTTTTCAGAATCCTTAACATCCCAATTTTTATTTTGCTGCTTTGATGTTTCCATTGGTTCTGGTGCTGTGGTACAAATCAAAAATAGGAAGAGAGAACAAATAAGATAAACTTACTCCGGAATTGGAGTCCTTTCCCTTCCATTGAGAGTTAATCCATGTTTTATTAGCAGTCTTAGCTGCATATTCCTTTTGTTTGTGGCCCAAAAAAAACTCATGTGTTAATTAAAATTGCAGTGCCCAGGTTGACACTCAGATGCAGATAACTGGTTCTATATTGCAACCTAACATCTCTGGAAGTATTAAATTGAGCCATGGTGAAGCATATCTACCACACGATAAGGGTAGTGGGGCTGCTACTAATAGATTGGCATCAAATGAGTCCAGGCTCCCTGGTACTGGTGTCGATCGAGTAGTTGCCACGAGGTATGTTTCGCGGTTTTTCAGTTCACAACCAGCTGCTTCAAGGACAAAGTTCCCTCAACCTTCAGGTAAGACATCACTGCCTCTTTTGTTTCATTGTGTGACATTATGATACTATAAATTCAGACTAGATGTTTTTTTAGCAAATATGATTGGTAAAGTTGATATCTGCAAATTCTGCTTTTTAACCTTCAACCTTCTGGATTGGCAGTTCAACCAACTGAAAAGGAGATGGAGCAAGTGAACATTAAACCGAATGTAGACATTCAGCTTAGTGATTTGAAGCTCGCTCTCGGACCAGAGTTGAGGGTAGTTTATCCTTTAATCCTCAATTTCGCAGTTAGTGGAGAGCTTGAATTAAATGGCCCGGCTCATCCCAAATCGATACAACCTAGAGGTGTCTTAACTTTTGAGAATGGTGATGTAAATCTTGTTGCAACTCAGGTGGGGTGTTCAAGCTAATCCATATACCGCTTGTCTTTGTGGTTACTCTTCTTTTGGCCTTCTCTTAATCTCATTAACTTTGCAAATGCAGGTGAGACTCAAGCAAGAGCATCTGAATATTGCAAAATTTGAGCCTGAACATGGTCTAGATCCAATGCTAGATTTAGTTTTGGTAGGTTCTGAGTGGCAATTCAGGATTCAAAGTCGAGCCAGGAACTGGCAGGACAAACTGGTTGTGACTTCTACTGGCTCTGTGGAACAGGATGCCATCTCACCTACCGAGGTATATCGTTTTATATTGGTGGGAGTATTCAGTTCCTTGTGTCGTATGAAATGATCAATCCAATATGTCACTCCTGCAGGTTTTCTTGTCTTTGTCACATAGTGGACTCTATATACTCCGCATTAGGTCACTCTGTGAAATCTACTTTCACATTTGTTTTATTTGCCCTGGATTTCTGATTTAGGATTTGCAAAACTTTGTTCAAGTTTTCATGCCCTAGACTTACTGGCACTTTGATCTGATCCATTTTCCCCATATTCATAGGCTGCCAGAGTTTTCGAAAGTCAATTGGCAGAGTCCATCTTGGAAAACGATGGGCAGCTTGCGTTCCAAAAGCTTGCAACTACAACACTCGAAAAACTGATGCCAAGAATAGAAGGGAAGGGAGAGTTTGGCCAGGCAAGGTGGAGGCTAGTGTATGCACCACAGATCCCTAGTTTGCTTTCTGTTGATCCTACGGTGGATCCTCTCAAATCCCTGGCCAGTAATATTTCATTTGGTACAGAAGTTGAAGTCCAACTTGGGAAACGTCTTCAGGTTATCTTAATGAAACTCTTCAACCTGCTTTCAATTCTTTTGCCTCTCAAATTTTTATATTTCCATTTATTATAGGGGAATTAATTGATTGATACTGTTTTACTTCTTTTCCTTCAAATTTTGTTTATGATCATTTAAGAGTATTTTTTTTCCTCAGGCCACAATTGTTAGGCAAATGAAGGACTCAGAGATGGCAATGCAATGGACCTTAATCTACCAGCTTACGAGCCGCCTGCGGGTTCTCCTACAGTCTGCTCCGTCAAAACGCCTCCTTTTCGAATATTCTGCTACGTCTCAGGATTAGTCTGCTAGCCATTTTTCTTTTAGCTCAAACTTTTCTGTGGATCAGATCAAGCCTTCAATTGGAGCTTTGAAATCTCAGTCAGTTATACGTTCTATTTCTTTCTTCTTTTTTTTCCATTGCTTTTTTAAGTTTCTGATTATGTATAATTATTCTTTGCTCAAAATTGAATGAGCTCCTTTGTAAGTTCAATGCGTTCACTTTGTAAATAGTTCAATAGTATCAATGAAAGAAAATTACCGGTTCTAAGTTTCCAACACTTGGTAATTGCAATTAAACTTTTATTCGAGATTTTTTAGTATAGCTCGTTCATTCTCAATAAGAAAGGTGAAAATATGTGGCTGGATTTTTCTATTTTCTATCATATTAATTGCGTTTTATTTGACTTTTAGGAAGGATTAAAGCCATCAGAGGCAAACCCAAAAACTCAGAAACCCCCAAGCCCAACGCCACCATACAACCACCCTCATCCCCACCAGAGATCCACCCAGCCTCACCTGAGACCCATCCAGATCCTCTCTCTCTCTCTGCAAATTCAAAAATTGAAAGAAAAAAAAATTCGAACACTTGGTATCTTAGGGGGGTGGGTTGCAGGTTGGGTTAGGAGAGAGCGAAAGAGAGAGGGATTTGGATTTCTATTTTTTATTTTTAAGTTTATTTATTTATTTAAATATTATTTAATTATTTTTTGCACTTTTTTCAGTTTTTTGTTCTTTTCAATTTTTAAAATATTTTAATTGAGACGGACGATTTTAGCCCTCAAATTAACTGCCAAATTGACATAAGGACTCAATTGAAACGGATGAGAGAGTTGGATAGGACCTCTACAGTTAAAAACCCTAGAATTTTTTTTTTCTTTTTTCAGAGAAGGTAAGACTAAAATTAGTCAGGGGCCGCGCGAACGCAGGCCCCCACCAGCACAAATTATGACATTGGCTCTCCCACGTTGGGGAGACCATAGACTGGCACCCCTCCTGAGTGCAATGGAGGTCACCAACCTAGGCCATGGGCCCTCTTGATCGCCCATTGACCCTGTCCAGGTAAGTATATTTTAACGCCCTCCTTGATCCTCTTTTATATCAACTCTTCCCACTCACTCTTTTCTCCCAGTCGATGTGGGATTAGTTTAAAATGCCAAAAGAAAACACAATTAACTAAAGAATTTGCATACAAATTTGTCATCTACCCTTTACTCATCATCAACCCAAAGAGAAACGTAATGGAACTTAGAGCCAAAATTTCAATGGTGATGGAATAAATGAGTGAAAAATTAGTGGGACGACAAAATCGAGTACACTGTCACCAAAATCTCCATGGATCCTTGTATGGAGGAACATAGTTTTCTGTGGGAGGGAGGAGGTGAAAAGAAGCTATAGTTTTTTGCAAGATAGGCCCCACCTGCATCACATAAAATGCATATCAATAATTATATGTTAGCAGAAGATATAAATAACAAGAAAACTTCATTTCCTTCATCAGAGAGAGAGAGAGAGAGAGAGAGAGTTACTATGTTCCACTGCTTGTTGAGAGTTGAAGCATTTATAGAGTACAAGTAACCTGCAATTGAGTTTTTGTAAGATTCAATGACAGGTTTTATATTGCAATATTAACCCAATAAAAACATAGCCGTTACTTTTTTAATCAAATGGCATCTTCTCCCCCCACAAGTATGCGTGATGCAGAGAATGATGAGAAAAAAGAATGAAATGAAAAATCTTATGTTTAGCACTGGAATGGTTGAACAAAGAAACTATTTTCCTACCATCTCTTTCGGTTGTTGAAGCTACATAGTGCCTATAATTGTTAGATTCTTCAGCCTGCACAATTTGTAACTGTTGTAAGAATCCTAAAGAAACCAGGACAGTGAGCGAATTTTTATTCAACTGAAAACTGCTCTTAGAAAGAACACTTACAGTTTTCGTGGGTGCTTTGCGAACAAGGTACTCATAATACCAGTATGGCTCACCATCAATCTGAGGAATAAAAATGATCAAGCTTCATATGTCGCCAAGTAGATTTTACAATGACGGTTTCAGCTATGTAAACCCAAAAAGGTGTGGGAAGCTTACTTCACCAGAATGTGCATCAAGAACTGAACTCTCCGCCATGCGCTGACTTGAGGTGACCCGCTGCAGAGAACTGTAGCATGTCAGATCAAACAAGCATCAACTTGACAACATCAAGCAGTCAAGGCTATAGAATATTCCCCCAAAAATTGGATAGGTAACTCTACAACGGACTGCTCCATCCCATCCAACCACAATCCTCTTTACAGGCTACTCTACTAAAGCAAATTGGTTTTTCGATTCATCGTAGTTTTACTGGACAATTTCTTTCCTCCCTTGGGATGCTTCCTAAGAATGTATTATCATGTCACAGTTACATCAAAATTAGTACACTAGATTTTTCAAGATCCTCCGGTTGAGGATAATCTATCATGCCTAAGGTTTCACTTTTTAATATTTCTTTCAGTCCTAGTTAAACTTAAAAAAAAATTCACACGTTGACAATCAATCGTAACAAACTTTTTCTATTCAGCCAGCCTTAAAATCAAAAGCTATTAGAAAAGAGCCAGTGTAACATTACCAATGCAGACTTGTCAGCCAAAACAGAATCAGCAACATCTTTTGCAGTCCATGTACTCTTGTCTACTGATTTTATAATCTTTGAATTCGGAGGACCTATCTGAATCAAAGAAAATTAAATTATAAACCTTTGAAAAATAACTAAAGGGGCATTTGCACTTGATGAGTAGTGATCTTATCAGGAGTTACCGAAATAGAAATGATAAGATTATCAACAATGTCAACACGCTCAGAAACAATGCGAAGCCGTGCATCAGCTGTATAATATATAAAACAGTTTCTAGTGAGTATTATGCATATGATCAGCATTCATGGCCATTGTCAAATATGGATATAGACGTGTTCTTAAATTTATCTATGAATAGTCAAGTTTTCAAACTTCTGTTGAAAGACTTTCATCATTCTATTTTTGAAGCTGAACTTACGAGATAATGGTGCAGCTGATGAATAGCGTTCTGGCTTTCTTGACTCCACCCTTGAAATACATGAAAATAGTCAGGTTCCTACAATTTATATGCCACGATAATTGCATATAATTCAACTAGTCGGTTTTTGTGCTAAAAGGGGAAAAAGAAACATACAGAAAACTATTATCAGCGTCTCATTTAAAGAAAATAATGCATGATTCAGAATATTATGAACATTAACTCTGATAGCATTATGGACGGAAGAAAGCATAAGCTTCCGTTCAGATTCAAATTTGTTCCTCCGAACCGAAAAGTAACAACAACCACAACGATACGTATCGAAAAGGGGGCAAATTGCATACCATTTGAAAATGACCTTCTTTGATGGCAACTCCACTGGGTATCGATAAGAACAGGAATTTATTTCATCAACAAACGTAGCCATTTTCAAGTCTTCCTCTGCAATGGACCCTGCAACAACAGTGGCCTATTGATAATTGCTAATTACAAAGATACAAAAAAGAATTTTAAATTATTAGAGATTATATTCATAAACATTACTAACCGTAACATATTTCCAAAAAAGAATAAATAAAATTTTCATTTTCCATGTTCTTCCCAGTTTCTTCAGAGACTGTAAAAACCATCTGACCAAATTACCGAAGTGTGAATTGAGAAAGCTCACCTGAAGATGGGAACACTGCAAGCACTGGAGAAGAAAGGCCAAAGAGCAACAACTCCCTTCTGCAAAACCCACTTTGCAAAGTGGGTTTTGAGATGGCACTTGAACATGGCTGCCATTTGCTCTGCTGCATCACAGTTCTAGCCTGCTCTCTAAGCACCAACCCAAAAACAGAACCAATAATTTAAAGAGATAAATAAAAATACAGAGAAATATTCATTCACACATTCATGTCCATGATAAGATTAAGAGAGAGAAAGTACCTGAAAAAGAGTTTTGAAGGAACAAGCTGGTTGGATGTGAAGAGAGAGAGAGAAGGAGAGAGAACAACCATTTTTGCTCTCTTCTTTCTTTTGCTCTGCTTTTCTCTCTTTTCTTGCTCGGCTCATCCACTCAATGGAAGACCCAACTCCCAACAAAAATGTTAAAACCCAGTTTTTTTAACACGTGTCCTTCTAATAAGAGGGTATATGGTCTGAGTAACGACTGACCAATCATTTTATGCCACGTGATATGCTTAGCCATTAAACTTAAGTAGAATACAACTAACCCTGTCTCCAAACAGAGCCCCAAACAGTTATAGTAAACCCAGTAAAACGTCCGTGTCATGCAAAGTGAAGAGAAGAAACTTTTTATTATTAGCTTTCCGATACACTAAACATTTCTCACAGAGCGAAAAATAGAAGAATTTCCCTGAAAATCATTTGCTCTTTTTTCTTCTGCGTCCTCTGCGATCTCGGGAACTAGGGTTTCGGCGATTTCGAGTTCTTGGTTTTGCTTCTTTGGATTTCAAGATCGCCTCCTCGCTCACGGTGAGCTCTCATTGACCTTCGTTGGTTCATGCTGTTAACTTTTTTTTTTCCTTTGATCTTGATCATAATTAGGTTTCGTATTACGATGATCCGCGTTTTGGAATTTCTTTTTTGCGATGAGATTTGAGTTGATTATCTGAGGTTTGAGATTTTGTTGATCCATGTGTGTATTCTGTTCTTGTTTACTTTGTGGAAAGCGGGATTTTATACTTGATTGATTACTTGAAGTCTAATGAGAAAAGCAATAATCAAATATGGGTTTTGTTAAAGTGAATCTTGATCTAGAGGTTGTTTACTTATATCATTTTTTTCTTTTCGTGAGGAGATTGGATAGTGATCTGATATAGTGTATCTTTTTGTGTGGATATTGGATAGTGATCTGAGTTAGTGTATCTTCTTATGTGGATATGAGATATGAAATTGAGTTCTTGACAAGTTGAGACACTAACTTTGACTGGTTTGGTTTCTGAAGGATTAGTGGATTGAATAATTTGTTTGGTTTAGTTGTTTGTGAAGGATTTGTAATCTTATGTGATTAAATTGCACACATGAGTTTGAATGGTGTTTTCAAGATCAGTCCTCTACGGTCTTCCTCTTTTCATCTAATCAAAGGTCATAGATATGATATGTTTTGGATTTGTCAGTTGCACTCTCACCATCAACTGATATTTTTTGGTACAACAATTAGCTTATCCTTTGAGTAAATTCAAAGTAAAGTAAGACCCAGGATTTTATCTCTTTATTAGTGGAATCCCAGCTTATTTTGACATGAAAGCTTTATATTTTTGTTTCATCCATGATTACATTATTAATGTTGTCTGATAATATCCGGTTTTGCATTTCTTTGAAAGTAGCAGATTTTTATGAATTGAGACCATGAAGCCAGGATTGTCTTCTTTGAATCCCTATGCAGCAGCATACATTCCACTCTCTAAAAGGGAGATGGATGATAGAATGTATGTGACGACGAAAGATTCTAGCTGCAGCAATGAGGCAGTCTGGTTTGGGACCCCACAGAATTATTCCCAGAATCAACAGCATAGCAAATCTTATCTTGAATCTGATGCCCCTGGTACTGCAAGACTCCCCAGTCCAAAGTCATTTGCTGTAAAGAGCTACCCTGCCCATGGTTCTTATGGTTCATCTTCACAGAATGTGAATGAAGTGACAGCACATGAAGATTTTGATATGGCTTTGGATTATCTTGAGATGACATTTCCTGGTATATCTGATCAGTCCCTTACTGATGTCTATTTGGCAAATAAGGGTGACCTGGATGCCACCATTGACATGCTGAACCAACTTGAGGTGAGACTTCCATTTTATTTTTTTTGGGTGTAGTTAAATATTCTTCATTCGGTAAAGTCATACATTATCCTCTATCATCTGTCCATCTACAATTATGTTGCTATGAATTACATTATAAATACTTAAATAATGCTGCTTGCAATTTTGAAACAGTTACAGGTCAAAATTGGAAGGTCTTTATCCAATTTGAAGCATAAACTGAGTATGTGCTGTGTTCATGTCACCGACTAATTAAAACAAAAAAGAATAATCAAGCTCCTCGTTTTCTTTGAAAAATTTCTCTATTGCAAGTTCATTTGACTTTGCATGCTTTGCCATGTTGGTAGGTGGTGCAATTACTGTGTGATTTAATTGACTCATAGTGACAGTAATATGTTTTGCCATGTTGATTGTTTATGACATTTCTTATTTATATGAGAAATCTTGCTCCCTTGATATAATTGGTTTTCGATTGGCTAGAATGTATTTAACTTTTTCTTTGGTAGGCGAGTTTTATTATGAACTTTATAAAATTGAGAATATTCTGGATATCCAGCTCTGGCTGTTTGTTTCCTAACATCAAACATATAGAAATTTTGTGTCTATGTTTATCAACATCAGCTCAGAGATAACTCTATCATTTGGCTTACATGTTTGGATTATTTGCCCTTACTATAATTCTTTAAGAAAACTTCAGATTAACTTCAGCACTCATCCCGAAATTTGGTTTGTCTCTTACAGTTCTACACAGTTGAGTCTTCTGAAAGTCTTCCAGACACTTTGGACATAGGAGATGTTTCTGAATCTGGGTTGCCAGGCAATAGTGCATGGAAACTGAAGAATGTAGCAGGTGAAGCCAGCGGTTCACCCAAATCGTAGCTCCTATCATCATCTCCTGTTCGTTTTTTGTGGAAAACAAGAAAAATGTCAGTTGTTTTACCTTGACATGTTTGGTTTATGGGCAACAAGTATATAAATAGAGGATCTTCTCTTGGGATCATGGACATCATGCACACTTAGTTGTTTGATAATGGTTGTATAGCTTCTTAGATGCTTGTTCTTAATCTCTCATTAACATTTTTCTCGACAACTTCGGGTTTTATGGGCCAAAAGCTCACAGTGCAAACGTCATGCCGCTTTACGGTTTTCTGCAATGAAAATGTTGTGCTTTTGAATGTCGTATTGTACTCATACTTCACCCTTTTATTTTCTTAAAGGGAAAGATTGAGGCTAGGCCTGAAGGCTTCTCCCATTGTTATTTCTGTTTAAAGAAATTTCACTTGAATTTTTTTTTTTTTTAAAAGCCTTCGTTCTGCCTTATAAGCTGAGGTGAGCAACCTTTGACATTCTGAAAAGATCAAATCACAATCAGGATTCAGGGGATGAATCTATTTATGTCATGTCGGACTATTTTAATTTTATTTTGTCTGAAAAATTTACCACAAATATTTAAATTATTCACAAAATTCAACTCATCTATCACAAGCCAAACCAAAGTCCTTATTTAATTCTTTCTCATGGGTTACGACCCAAAAGTGAAATTATACAAAATCCAGTCCAGGATGGCCCAGATTCATTTATGCCCATGAAGGCCTACACTGTCAAGCATTTGCTCAGAACCCTCTTTAAGCTACAAGCCTCCCATTTTATGACCAGCTCATATTAGGATTTCTTTTCTTTCTTCTTCTCCGGCTTACTTACTGGGAACCATGCTCTGTTTGGCTGCAGATTGGGTTGTTATCTGTGATGTCTCTTTGTACAGTTTGTACAGTCAGTTGTTTCTCACCACACAACTTTACGGTCCGTCCGGTAACGTTCTCGGACCATGACACCCTCCTTTCTCCTCAACTAGTTTAGCCAAAAGTCAAGTGTTATCTAAATAAAAACACATTAAGCAGTTTTGAACTAGACTTCAAGTGTATTGGTGATAGACATCAATGTTATTTATTGTCTCCTCGAGTTTGTCTAAACACATGACAGGACGTCCAATCTTTATTAAAGAACGGATTGTTGATATGGTATTAATAGCGTTTCAAAATCACTGTGGATAACATGTGAAATAACAAAATATAACGATATATAATATTGACAATATCGACGATATAAAATTTGTGATTTAACAAATGACGGACGGCATGCTCACGGAGAAGTATCCAAACGTAGCCTCACTCTTGAGCCGTCATTGTTATGTGATAATGTGAGGCACTCAGGGTTCAGCTAATTAAATTACAGACAGTTAGTTTGTGCGGTTAATTTGTAGAGGTGCCAGAAATATGTCCGTGAGCTTCGGTAGTTAAAAAAGATACAATATCCATCAAACGCGGTCTCAACTCTTAACAAAACATACAGTAAAACAAACAAGATTGCATCCTCAAGTCATCATCATATATTAAATACAAGATCAACAATTCTGAAGAAGACTAATCTAATCATTTCTGAAAGAACCCATTTCATCATTTGCTTCTTTCTTTCTGAGCCTCAGACAATCTTTGACCATCTTGAATTGTGTGATTTTGGCTTTAGAGAGAGAGAGAGAGAGAGAGAGGTGGATGCTGATCTGGGTTTTTTTCGAAGGTTGTAGCTTTGAAGAATTGCATCTGATCTGATAGTGATTGAAGATCATCAATCTTTGTTTTTTCTTTCTGGAGGTATAGAAGATGGGGGTGGATTATTATAACGTATTGAAGGTAAACAGAAATGCTACAGAGGATGATCTAAAGAAGGCTTATAGGAGGCTGGCCATGAAATGGCACCCTGACAAGAATCCTAATAACAAGAAAGAAGCAGAAGCCAAATTCAAGCAGATCTCCGAGGCATATGAGGCATGTTCTCTTTCTTTCTGCTATTTTTGTTACATGTTCATTCTTCTATATGCATATTTAGATAGGTAAACAAATTTTTAAAGGAAAAAAAAACAGAAGAAAAAGGTTTAAGCTTGTTGATTTTGTCAATTTTCATAGTTCAAGACTTCAACTGCTGGATGATTGCAATGCAAATGTACGATAAGAAAGAACAAAACTTTAATGTTTCTGAAAGTTGGTTTTTATTCTTTGGAGAATTGGGTAGTCAGCCAAGAATGATTACAATGGGACTTCAAATAATGGGATTTATAGCATTTGTGTAAACTCTTAAGAAGATCAAGTAATTAATTGTGTCAGGCTCAATTCAGGTGGACTCTTTTTTCTGTTCCGTCTCCAACAAGGAATTCTTTAAGAACCAAATGGGGTGTGGTTGATCAAAATTAAAAGAAAAAAAGAGAATGAAAGCATCTATGCTCATTCATATCTGCAAGCAGTGAATTGATTGGGGTGTACAGAGTGAAAATAACAGAATGAAATGTGTTTTGTGAATTCAGGTCTTGAGCGATTCTCAGAAAAGAGCAATTTACGATCAGTATGGCGAAGAAGGACTGAAAGATATGCCGCCTCCAGAAAGATACGCAAATGGAAATGGAGGTGGATCAAAAGGATTTAATCCTAGGAACGCAGAGGATATATTTGCAGAATTCTTTGGAAGTAGTCCTTTCGGATTTGGGTCAACAGGACCTGGGAGGTCTATGAGATTCCAATCTGATGGAGGAGGGGGAATGTTTGGCGGATTTGGAGGAAACGAAAATATTTTTCGATCATATAGTGAGGGTGTTACACCAAAGAAACCACCAGCAGTGGAGAGCAAATTGCCTTGCAGCCTTGAGGAGCTGTATACTGGATCAACAAGGAAAATGAAGATCTCAAGGACTGTGGTTGATGCAAATGGGTAATTCATTTTAACACTGTCCCCAGTTTATTTCTTTGTTTCCTTTATTGCTATAGATTAATTGGTTATAATTTAAATACGATATAGCAATTAGTACTTCCAATATTTCATCTGCCTTACATGGTAGTTATTTATGATTCTAATGCTAGTCAGTTTATTAAGGCTCAAGTGAGCATCAATTTAGCTAAGAGATGATCTTTATAAATGATAATCCTGTTTTCTTTTTCTCATCGGGTAAAATGAAATTTACAGACGTCAAGTGCCAGAACAAGAGATATTGACCATTGATGTGAAGCCAGGATGGAAGAAGGGAACCAAGATTACATTTCCAGATAAAGGTAATGAGCAGCTTGGCCAGCTGCCAGCAGACCTTGTTTTTGTGATTGATGAGAAGCCCCATGACACATACAAGAGAGACGGCAATGACCTCGTTGTGAACCACAAAGTGACATTAGCGGAGGCATTGGGTGGAACCACGGTGCATCTCACTACGCTCGATGGTCGTGATCTATCCATCCCGGTGACTGACATTGTGAGCCCGGGCTACGAACTTGTTGTTGCCAGGGAGGGCATGCCAATACCAAAAGAGCCTCGTAACCGGGGTGATTTGAAGATCAAATTTGAGGTGAGGTTCCCTACAAGATTAACCCCAGAGCAAAGAGCTGGACTTAAACGAACTTTGGCCGGTTGAAGAGTATGTCATGACCTTTTCCATTGTAAATTGGCCAACAGTTGGGGTAGCTTTGAAGTCACATACATACAAGTCAAAGCTGCATTTGTTTAGTTTGTAGGCTGTGCTTTCTCTGCACTGGGATGAATGCCGGCATTTTAAACAAGTGATGTGCCAAATTACCTATTGTTTGATATACATTCATTATTTTTTGTATATTTTGTTGTCAGCAATCAGTGTTAGGTTCATGTATTGTGTCATTGCTTGTATCCTTTTAACTTTTCTTTGGCTATATCCTTAACTGTTCTGTATTTTTTACAATATAGTTTCCTACAAGGCGGATGCACTGAGTCAGTCCCAACCATTAATCTGTATTCAGAATAAGAAAATATCAGATCAAGTTCTTTCCCAGGATATTTTGGTTGTTTTTACCTCTTATCCATTGCCTTAGCTTTGCTTTGCTTAAAATGGTGGGTAGTCCCAGGATTCCAACATAACTAGCTCCACTGATTATTAACAGACGGCAAATGACAGGAAATGGACCCTTCCCCAAAATTGGCATAGAGCAAGAAATAGCAACAAACATGCATGTTGTCCTAAGGATCTTGAACCTCACAAGTGTTTTCTTTATTCCTTTTTTATTTTTTGTGGCCATGAGACCCTTTGCAGGTAAAAAGCCTTTTTAAGAGAACCTTATGTTCAGACAGGAATTGGCATTATTACAAAAATAAATAAATAATAAACAAATGGGAATTGTCACCAAAAGTAAACAAATGATTCTCACGAGTCACAACTCAAATATCCATGTGGTCTCTGATCATCTGATGCCTCACTACTTGCAATGACATTTACTTATCTTTTTGTCCTTGTTTAGCTCATTCTGAAAGATACAAGTTTGGCTGCATGAATAAAGTTGGGGGTCTTTAATGCTCTATGATAATAATAAAAATTAAAGGAAAATCATTTTTTTGTGGCAAATCTATTATTTTTGCTTACATTGTCATCAATATTATTATAACAGCTCAACCGTAGGAATAAATGGAGAAGAAAGGAGAGGGTATAACTGTACAAACAAGAATCCATCTATTATTATCTAACTACAAATCTTGGAACCTCTCTCTGATCTTTACATCCATGCGTTGTTGAAATGCAAAAATCATTTTTACTTACATTGTCAACAAACAAGAGCTCCACATTGCCATTTCAACACTGTCAAAGCCTCAAAGGCAGCTCTGCCTGCGTGTATCTCTACCAAGCTCCTCATCACCCAAGAAACAGTTAAAAAAGGGAAGGCTTGAACTTGGACAATCATCCATCCATTTTGAAACAAGATTCTTGCATCGGCGTACTTGAAGCCACAAAGGGTCATACATTCACTGCCTAAAATATAGTGTTGGCCACTTCATTGCCCACCCTACTATCACCGCGTTGCTGAGTGCCACTGATCGCGGAGAGAGAGCCCAAAATGCTCTCACCAACCTCACTCTTGCAAAGGGGGCAAGATGCATTGATCTTCAACCACTTATCCACGCATTCCTTGTGGAAAAAATGAGAACATGGCAACTCTCTCAGCTCATCATTGTTTGCGTATTTTGCCAAGCAGATGCAACAAACCTGTTCAATTTTACGACATTATTAGTAATACCGAGTATAATAGCAGGGCAAAGGCTTCCCCAAAAAAGGAGGAAAAGGGAACCACTCTGTAAAGAAAAAAATACATAATACTTTTATTAATCATACCACCAGGCAAACATATCTGGTAAAATCTAGCATCAAACCACCCTCTACTAAATTTTCAGTAGGGTACTACTAGATTCCAAGACAAATAGTGACACCAAGAAATGCCAAATCAAGACACATTTGATAGTTTCAGTGTAAAGAGTGTCAAACATTTAAAATCTAGTCCAATTTGATCAGGAACTTGACTGACTGGATACAGAATCACTACACTCAAATGAATATGGGAGGAATAAGGTTTCAAATGGCATGTCATGTTATAATACTACTATCTTAGTGTCAAGAGAAGAAAAGAAATTCACCATGCGAGTAATATCATGCATTCATTACTCATTTAATTACTAGTCACTAGTCAGGCATAGGTCCTAAATATATTGTGAAGACTTGTACTTCGCTAAACTCGCTGGACCATACATACCGCATCCTCTCCAGAGATCACACGCTCCTTCTCAGTTCCTGCAGCCACAACACCACCTTCAGAGACACCTGCACTGCTGCTATCTCTATTGTCACTATTTTTGTTTTTCTTTAACTTGAACTTGTATGTTGGCAGAGCATTAATTGATTCAGGTGTGGCTCCTCGTGCCTGTGTCAGGTCTTCTCGAAATCCAAGGACAGATATTATACAAGGAAGACAACAGCAGATTGTTGCGCACAAAATGAAAGGCATGGCGTATCCGATACAACTAAATGTAAGAAATACTATACATAACCTGCATGAAGAAAAATTGATATGATCTCCCCACTCAAAAAATCCAGAACTGGAAAAGTAAATCAGATTGACAAAAGTACCTGTATAGGTTAGGAGCCTCACTGGCAGATGAGTGCCCACCAAAAATCCAAACATTGCCAACTACGAACCAAACCGCAAAGAAACAATCCAATGCCATCTTAAAGTATTCCACAAGTACCTTGACTCTGTTAGGCAAAAATGACCTCATGTGTCAGACAACTTTTTCTAGTACTAGCTTCCTTATTAAACTTGCAACTCAAGTTACCTTCTCAAGACAAGGCAAACTGAGTAACATAATTTCTAACAAATAGACACATAGGCTTCTCATGGATAAACAATTTAAAATATAGACAGAATCATAAAGCAACAACACTAACCTGATTAAAACATCATTTGAAAGGGAAAATAATTGAAAAGTAACTGTCAAATTCTAAAGGACCATACTAAATCAAACAAAATTTACCATTCTCTTAAAATAGACAATAATTACCACTCCAGAAGATCTTGACATTAATTTAAAGCAACAAGTGACACAAATGGATTTAGCTCAAATAAATTGGAATATTCTTCAGGTAAAAATATAAATACGAAAAAATACCCCATGAATGAGACAGCCACATTGGAGCTTCATTAATACGGTTGTAAACTTGTAACAGAGAGAAGCAAAAAGAAAACTCCAGATACCAAGATCCTTTCACACAAAGGATTTGTTACAGATCCCTAAACTGTACCCATGTTGTGTAACTTCAACATGTGCGTTCAAGGAATTTTAAACCATCAAGACACGAGGAACCCAAATTGTGTGAACTCCCAAAACATGTAGGCTCCCAAATTGTGTGAACATCCAAACCATCTCTTCTTTTAACCTCTCATTTTCTGTAAGCTCCTACTGATATCACACAATAGAGACAACAAAAGACACGAGCGAGCCTTTATGATGAACTATCAATATGGCACTTATGACAACTTAACTTTAACAATGAAAGCCGAGTGTACTCATCTCCAAGGAGTTTAATTACTTTCTTTTGGGGTCGGGTGAGGGATTGGGGTAGATAAGGGGCACAACAATATGACTGTTCTGAAAGAATCATTCAATGCAGGCACATTGTAATTTTGCTCAAAATGATGCAGCCACAACTCTTAAAATAGTCTATGATAATGCCAAGAAACATGCCGTCTCTATAATTTTAAGTCTACAAGGAGCTTCAACCTTCATTGAATAAAATAAAATGTTTTAAATATCATTAAAAATCATGCAACTTAGGAAGAGAATCACAAAATATATGCCAAACAAGGACAAAATGTTTCATTTTATAAAGCACAGTGCCTGAAAGACAACAGCAAACCATACCTTCTGCTTAGTACTTCTGAACTTTGACTGCTTCTAGAAGATGCAGTGGTAGTCTGAAGATCTGCTTCAGAAGTCCTAGAAACAGAAAGAGAAAATGGTCTTGCTGGTACATTAATCTGAGAACTGTGACGGGCTTGAGCAGAATCTTGTTCTGAAACCTGGTTGCGGTGACGATAGCGCCAATACAGAAGAGGAAGAATAGCAACACATCCAGATGCATAACCAACAATCCATGCAAACAATGGAGTGTGAGGATGCTCATGCCTTGACAAAGACAAAACAACAACAGATGCAACAATTTGGCTCACAGTAAGAACCAGTTCAATAGATATCCATAATCCAGAATTCAACGGACTTCTGCGGCGGCGAGTATCCCCTCTCCTTCCTGTTGCACTGTTCCTAGAGTTTGATCCATTAGATGAAAAAATAGAAGGTTGAAATGTGGGTGCTCTTGGACTAGTTGAAGGTCTGTCTTCTTGCTGTGATGCATTTAAGCTATTTAAAGATGTACCATGAGGCAAGCTAGATGAGGAGGGATCACTACTCCCAGTTATGTCAATAATATGCTCACTTCCGTTCATATCTTCATGTCGTGATTGCTCCATTAACAACGAGGAAGTGTAAGTTTGACTTTCAAGGGGAAGCTTCAATGACGCAACATCCATCTAAGTCCACCGAGACAACACGGAATAGGAATGCATAGATCTTTAGAGCAAGAATCCTACCTTTATGTTCGTCTCCTCAAATGTGCTAACCAAATTTCACTCTTGTCCTAAAGACCTATGCTGAACCAACCAGCATAGATTATGTGGCACCACGAGATGCAGAAAGCTTAACAATATCAATCCTGTTCAAGAGCAAAATATCAAATCAGAATTGTATTAGTCATATCCTCAAAGCAACATTTTTACTTTTGATAGAAAAATTATAAAAGAGGTACAATGGGAAAATAAGAATCCAAGGACTTTGTTAGTTCAACCAGTGGAAACAATCAAGAAAAAACTCGAATCAGGGACTATGCTAAAAGAAAACCATCAATTTCAAAACACTAACTTCTTAATCCCTTCTCAAATTTGGCAACAAGAACAATTCAAGCCCCTAGGATTAGAACAAATTTCAAAATAAATGATGTAGATACTAAAGTATTATCAATATTAGAGATGTCATGCAAACTGAGAAAGCAGAGGTAATATTGACAGTCACATAGATCAAAATCTACCCAATGGTGCAAGTAAAATACTATTTGTTTGGTCACTTGAAAAATATGAAACTATAATAGAACTAACATACTAGGCATTAAGCATCAAATATTGGAGGTTCCAAAGGGCACAATCCATCAATTTTAAAATAATAAAAAAAATATTATTTTTCAACAACAGAATTCTGCTCACAGTTCAACTCCCTACTCTTTTCCTAGATTTTCTCTGCAACCAAACAGCAGGTATCAGTTCACCCATTCTTTCTCTATAGCATAACGTTCAAGAATTTCCCAATGGGTAAACTATGCCTTCAATTCAACAGTTGATTAATACCATTTCAATAATATATACCAATCGAAATCCTAAAATTCAAATATGCTAATTATTCTTCAAGAACGAACCAACACTCAAAGAATCGAAAACACAACAACCCACTTTCAAATTCAAAACCTAAACCCAAAAACAAAAACCATTTTTCACATAAATTATTGATTCCCAATCTGCTTACACATATACAATTATACATATATGGAGAGAGAGAGAGAGAGAGAGAGAGAGGGTACCAGATTGAAGCAGAGTGAGAGGGAGAAGGAGTAGAAAATAAGGTAGCGCCGTCTGGAAATCGAGTGATTGCTATGAAATTTAGGTGGGTTTTTGTTGGTACTTGGAGGGAGCGAGAAATTTAGAGAAAAATAGCGTCGTGCTGTCAAGACTCAGCTTTGGACCTTCGCTGAGGAAAAGAAAAGAATTTTTCCTTCTTTTATAATTTTTAATTTTCCCTTTTGCCCTTTATTTTTTCTTTTTTGCATTTTTCATTTTCGGGGTAGCTTCGGTTTCCGTGTGCCCTTTTTGGCAAATATCAGTTTCCTCCCTGAACTTTATGGAAATTGTTAATGGGCATGCCTTTTGCTTACGTCATACTCCACCTGCCCCTCCTCCCTTCTCCTTCATGCTTCTTCTTTTTAATTTTCTATTTTCTTATCGGCTTTTTAAAGCAAATGTCAAACTAGTATTTTATACGGAAATACCACTATGACTATATTAAATGTATTTTTCCCTCTATATATTGTAACATAGAGTTCAATTCAATATGGACAAATCCAAGGTATGCTTCACAAATCTAAACTCAACAACTTGAATATTTGTTTGCAATTTGAATTTTCATTGTATAACTTTTCAAGATAAATTTGAATCACTTATAAGTACGTTTGGACGACTCTAATCGTCAATCAATGTGAAACATAAGCACTCGTAAAAATCTTCTTTTTAGTCATATTCTACTCGTTTGTTAAATTAAGTAATATGTCAAACAAAACGACTACTCTCCTCTATCACAACAAACTAGTAATGTATACGGAAAATAGCACTATGACTTTTCTAAAATATCTATTGTAAGATCGAGGGGTTTACCTCAGTGGTGAGGTCCCTCTCCCTTCCCCCCCTTGGTCACGATAAGTGCCCCCCTCCCAACGCAATGTATCTATCGCTAGTTCTCAAAAAAAAAACAAACAAAAAAAACCTATTGTAAAGTTTGACTAATAATTAAGGAAATTGAATAATATATGATTTCTTATTTCTTGTTATTTTTGTTATTTCACATGCCTACGGATGACTGTGTAATCAACATAAATCTTATTTTTAGCTCTATCTTACTCAGAAGCTAAACACAGAGGCTACCATCATTCACAACAAACAATATTCAAATAGGTATTGGTTGAACTGCAATGCGAAAAAAGAGGTTAAGATTAAATAAATTTGTCTCATAAAATCAGTGCTTTATGACATGGATACGTGATTTAGGCTAGTTGACTAAGGTTTTGTACTCGCCCTTGTTATTATTTTTTAAACAAAACTACATATAGTTTGGAAATAATTGAAATCCACCATGTTATTATAAGTAAGATGGATTCTATACATATATATATATATATAAATATAATCTAGATTTATTTTTCAAAATGGAGCCTAGATTTTTTTTTTCCACGAAAAAACAAATGAAGGCTATATTTTCTATATGCATCATGAGACATTATGCATGTCGCAATCCGTATTATATTACAATAAATTTCCAAGATGTCCCAATCTTCGTTGTGATATGTGACTCACAGGAATATGCCTGTCAAAACAGAACAAGGAAATGAAAACTACCAAACCAAATCTACATTACTACGTGTTACCAGTCTATCAATTTCATAATCCAGCTCACACTAAATGACAGAAACCCCCTTGTTTTATCCACCATTTAAATAACCAAAATAAATAGATAAACAAAAACCCAATTTCAAAATATTTTGGGGTAAATTAGTTTCATTTTTATCTAATTACACCCAATCTCACTTCATTAACACCCACTGTCCTAAAGAGACACCCTGCATTTCCCGAGAAAATGCCTTAATTTTCTCCTCCACCGTGGACAGCATCCAAAAAGAAAAAAAAAACACAGAGAAAAACCAAAGATGGGTCCATTCATTTCTCTCTCATGGAGATCACAAACAATAATCTGCAACCCATAATCACAAAATAAGAAAGAAACTCCATAGATCTCCTTCTCGGAATCTCTGTCTCTTTTTTCCTTCCCCTACCTGCAAAAAATAAAAATAAAAACTCTTTCTTTTCTTTTTATTGAAATCTTTCAATGTTGCCTTTCAGATTCAAACCTTTGCAATCAACATCAACCTGAAATAACCCCCACCTTCATGTATATTTACATGTCTTCCTCTCTCTCTCCAAATTTATTGAGAGGTTTCATGTTTGATTGGTGAGCTTCAAATGTAATCAACCTTGCATCCCTCAAAGCCTCAAAATTTCATTGTTGTTCTTGTTCTTGTGCTGGTTCAAATCAGAATCTAACTACCCACATTGCCAAGATCTGATTTTTAATCAATGCCCACTTCAATTTCAAAACTTTGCCTCACTAAATCTCATACATTGTCTCTGTTTGCTCCCCATTTAACCCCAGATCTATGACAGAGATCTAGGTTAGGGTTTGGTTTCCCCAAATTTCATAATTTATCATACTGCCCCTCATGGCTTTTTGATCTAAAGTCTCTGTCTTTATTTGATATTTTCATAAAATTTCACCACAATGCTCAAGCAATTCCTCAGTAAACTCCCGCGGAAGGCGCTCAAATCGGATGAGCGGCCCGAGTCGCCGCGCACGAGCACGCCGCGGTCCAGCTCCCGGACCGGACCGTCCGGGGTGGGCGGAGGAGCCCCTCGATCCAACGGTGGAGGTAACTTGGGCCCGGGTCGATCAAACGGCCCGAAACGCATGTCATCGGCGGTGTTCCCGGCTAGTGTGGTGGCCGGTATCGAGCCTTTGGTGCCATTCAAGGACGTCCCCACTTCGGAGAAGATGAACCTCTTTGTGAGCAAGGTGAGCCTTTGCTGTGTAACGTTTGATTTCACAGACCCACCTCAGTAACCTCCCGCGGAAGGCGCTCAAATCGGATGAGCGGCCCGAGTCGCCGCGCACGAGCACGCCGCGGTCCAGCTCCCGGACCGGACCGTCCGGGGTGGGCGGAGGAGCCCCTCGATCCAACGGTGGAGGTAACTTGGGCCCGGGTCGATCAAACGGCCCGAAACGCATGTCATCGGCGGTGTTCCCGGCTAGTGTGGTGGCCGGTATCGAGCCTTTGGTGCCATTCAAGGACGTCCCCACTTCGGAGAAGATGAACCTCTTTGTGAGCAAGGTGAGCCTTTGCTGTGTAACGTTTGATTTCACAGACCCAACTAAGAATTCTATAGAGAAAGATGTTAAAAGGCAGACATTGCTTGAACTTGTGGACTTCGTAGCGTCTGGATCGATGAGATTTAGCGAGCCTGCTATTTTGGCAACCTGTAGAATGTGTGCTATTAATCTGTTTAGAGTTTTCCCGCCAAATTACAGGAATGGTGGTGGGGGTGAAAATGATGATGATGAGCCCATGTTTGATCCTGCTTGGCCACATTTGCAAATTGTGTATGAGTTACTGCTTAAATTCGTGACTTCTTCGTTTCTTGATGCGAAAATAGCGAAGAAGTATGTAGACCATTCGTTTATTTTGAGATTGCTTGAATTGTTTGATTCCGAAGACCCTAGGGAGAGAGACTGTTTGAAGACCATTCTGCATAGGATTTATGGGAAGTTCATGGTTCATAGGCCGTTTATTCGCAAGGCTATAAACAACATATTCTATCGGTTTTTGTTTGAGACTGAGAGACATAATGGGATTGCTGAGTTGCTGGAGATATTCGGGAGTATTATTAGCGGGTTTGCATTGCCGTTGAAAGAGGAACACAGAATGTTCTTGTGGAGGGTTTTGATTCCTCTGCATAAGCCGAAAAATCTGGGGTCTTACTTCCAGCAGTTGTCCTATTGTATCACGCAGTTTATAGAGAAGGAGCCAAAGTTGGCAAGTGTTGTTATAAAGGGTTTGTTGAAATACTGGCCAATAACAAGTAGTCAGAAAGAGGTGATGTTCTTGGGTGAGTTAGAAGAGATTTTGGAGGCAGTTAACATGGTGGAATTTCAGAAGGTCATGGTCCCTTTGTTCTGCCGGATTGGATGCTGTATTAACAGTTCCCACTTCCAGGTAACTGTCCCTTCAACTTTAGTTTCTCCTTCCATGGGATTTGTGTTTATTCATCAGTTTGACTCGTATTATCCTCATTTTGAAGTAGATTTCGCACCTATAAGTTTTATGATGGACTTTAGGCATGTGTACATTATTGTTAAGGAATTTGATGATTGCTTCATGTGTTTGTCAAGGAATGTATTCTCGTCTTAGCTCATTCCTTGGAAGACAATTTGTAACTTATCTTAAATGTTTTCAGGTGGCTGAAAGGGCCCTTTTCTTTTGGAACAATGACCACATTGTCAACCTAATTGCACATAACCGTCAAGTGATTCTGCCCATCATTTTACCAGCTTTGGAGAGGAATGCTCATAACCACTGGAACCAAGCAGTGCTCAACTTAACTCTAAATGTCAGAAAGATGTTTGTGGAGATGGATGATCAGCTATTCCTCTCCAGCCATGCTCACTATATGGAGGAAGAAGCAAAGCAAAGTTCGGCAGCCAAGAAGCGGAAGGAAGCATGGGAGCGGTTAGAGAATGCAGCTAGTCTCCAGCCAGTAACTGGAACTACTGCTGTTCTGGTAACTTCCCTAGCAACCTCAATCGCCTGTTAAAATATTAACTTTTGAACTGATGTTACATCCCAACCGTTCCTTTTCCGGTATTTCCTCTCTTTTTTTTATGGTGGTGGGGAGATTACAAGTAATGTATGGAAAAATGGCTGTAGTTTGGGGGTGGGATTTTATTGTCATGGTCCTTTGGCAGCCAGTAGTTGTAACCTCGTTTCCATCTTGTATTCCCCTGCTGCTGTGTGGGATGTTAATTGCTTCCCTCAGAAAGGTTTCTGGGGAGGGCCATGCAGTGACTTTCCACAATTTTCTGTACTACTACTAGCTTAATTGATTCCTTTTTGCCCTTTGTAACCCCTCTCTCTCTCTCTCTCTGATTCTCTGATGCTCAGCTATGTCTTTATCAAACCTATTATAGATCAATGTGTTTGTCAATGTCAAGTTATAAACCAAATTAGAGTAGGCACTTTCAATTGTTGCTCTTCGTGATTTAATGAGCCCCCCTATAAATGCTACCTGATATAATGAAAGGAACGAATATGGGGTAATATAAAATAAAATAAAATAAAGTATTGGCAATATCAGACAGAAAGTGGAGACTTGAGATCTCTGTAAGATAAAGATGTAAAGGTCATCACATCATTTTCATCATGGTTCCCTTATTGGCTGGCAGGTGGTTTGATTGAAAAAATATAAATATAAAAAGAGGTGGTGAAATGAGGGTACAAGTAAGAAGTTTCTCAATGAAGGCTAACCATTGATGTCCATTGCAGCAGCTCTAGGTTAAAACCTCATGGCATCTGGGTTTTCAACATCTTGAGCTGCTGAGTGCTCTTTGGGCCACCATTTTCAAGTTTTATTTTTTTTGGACAAAACCATTTTCAGGTATTTGGTTTCCCTGGAAAGCTGGAACTTAAGAGATGAAAAGGCAAAGTTGTCATGACCCCTTGTTAGGCAGATGGGAAAAGAAAGCTGAAACATCTTTCTGAAGCTGCTATAAACATCTACACTACAGCCTACAGGTTATGAGGGGCTCTGTCAAATAGTACTGTGCACCCAAATGAAAATGAAATAACATGTTTATTTATTTGGAATAAGTATTGGAATTATCGTGCTTACTAACACATACGGAATAAAAAAATACCGAGGCCATGATCATGAAGTAGTTGACCCATACCCAGTCATTTTCTCTCATATTCCTAAATCCTCTGATCATGCCTTTTATTGGAGTGGCATATTGTAATTAACACGCCCAACACAATTTTATAACCCGGCACATCTTAGAAACAATAAACGACAACCTTGTCTATTTTTTATACAAACCACAGTCTACTTTAATCTAATATAAACTACGGGAGAAGGGTTGGGGGTGTAAATTTTTACTTGAGTGCAGAGTGGGGAGCAATTTCACTATAGCCAACTTGACTAAGCCCATGTCTACAAACGGCAACTTTGTCTTAAAAATGCAACAATAACAACGATCTGTTGTCAGTTGGCTTAACAAATAAGATAATTGTTTGTCCTTGCCGAAAACAAACCAAACTAGCCGTTTGTTTTGACAGACAAATTCTCAAGATGAACAAAGTTTTTCGCTAAAAAAACGTTTTGTTGTCTTTGGAAAACTTGATAATTTAAAAATAAATAATAACAAAAACAGAGTCCGTTGCATACATCTGCACATATCACCTCTGTAGCTCACATTTTGATGATGGTAGGCGAGAGGAAGTCATGCTTAGCACACAATGAGATAAGAATTCAATCAAATGATTGATAAACTATTTTCTTTTTTTTCTTCTTCATATATGATGTTTTTGGATACATAATGATCAAGGAGCTGCAATTCCTATTTGGAGCCTGCAACCCATCGCAGTCACTCTTAAAACTTCCTAAGTGCTGAGAAGTTTTGATACATTATTTTGCCAAGAGGCAAAACGTGTTTGATCTAAAAAAAATTAGGTTACAAAGACAAATCTGGAAGCACCAGAATGAGATAACATTCAACATTCAACAACGAAGGACCAACAGACGAACAGACAACAAAGTTAGGGTATGGAAAGTCAATGAACTTTCATGTTGGAGCTCTGGATGTCCCTCAAAGTTCCAGAATGCAGAGAGCTTCCCCAACTGATAAATAGGCAGATCCAAGTCTTAAAGAATAATCAGCGATTATTGATCTTGGAAAGTGCGAATCACCCGTTGTTTGGAGGTCAAAGTAGCCACAGACTTGAACTGTCAAGAAAAGAACTGAATCAGAATGCTGAGTATCAATGATGCACAACTAAACATTACTTTCAACATTAAAACGTGCCGTTTTAAGAATCTACACCCCTGCGGCGATATGAGTAGGCTTCACATGAATTTGTTAGGAGATGGTCCTTTTTGGTTCTATTAGTTTGATCTGAGAGCTAGCTGATCCATCTTTTGACGAACACAAAAGGATCCTCAGAAGTTCTGAAGCTACTTCAGGCAATACTTATAGTGTATGATAATAGATGATAATAGGTTTTGCTAGATGCAATAACAGAATGAAATGTACAAGTATTATTCTACCCAACATTCTGTTGGGCTTTGTGGTCAGTCAGCAAAATACCTTCTGGTGTCTGTACTTCTCACGTATCGCATTTAGCGGACAGCCCTTGGTGTTCAGTTGCAAATCTTCCAGTGCAACAACTGTAGTTTTGAGCTCTGATGTTTTGTAAGAGGTATAGCGCTCTAAAGTAGGATTCTGCAAGAATCAAACATGAACGTTATTTTTGACAATTCTCAACGAAGAGTTAAGTAAAAACCTTTATGAAGAAGGCACAGAAATGCAAACCCATGGATGGTCAGACTGATCGAGTGTCCATCTGGCAAGGAATACAGCAGAGGCGGCAATGAGGGAAGGTAGGAACTTCAGGAAACCATATTCAGCAAGAGTCAACTCTGCTAAATAATTTGCCAATAACTCCAGTTCAACACAAGGAACCTGCGTAACAAATTAATTAAAATAAAACCATTTTCGTGTATGGCAATTGAATTTTCAGAAGTAACGAATGGGGACAACACTCAATTTAGAATACCTTATAAGAAGCTTGTGCTGCATGAATGAACCTCCTGAAACACAAAAATCGGTTTATTGAACTCACTTTAAATGACATTTTCTAAGCAACATAGATAAAGCCTGGTGAGTGCATTACCTAAGAAATGTTTTTGTGGTGGGAACAGATAACTGGAAGTGCAAGAAATTTAGAACTTTACTCTCCATTTCTAATACCTGCAAGAGTTATTCAGGAACTTTATATGTCAGTATATAACTAGTGATACCACTGGAAAGGAGGAAAAATCAAGCAGGATGTTGGCATTGCCATGTGAACTACAGAACCGGATTTTGCTTTTGAATTATGGTACGAAAACAAATCAAAGTTTTATGAGTCTAATGTAGGCAAAGTTTATGGCTGAGACGACATAAAAATCAACTGCAGCACCCAGGATCATGCAGTTGAAGTCGATGGAAATAAGAGAACTCCAGGAGGCTACCAGCATGCATGGAAAAGCCAAAAGCAATCATAATTAGACATGTCATGTAGCCAAGTACATACCTCGTCTCTTGAGTAAGTATTGTCCGTGATGAAGCAAAATTCTTCCACTCGCGGTGCACATATTTCTTCATACTTCCTTTTGAGTCATAACAAAAAATACATACACGTCAAGCAATGTAATGATGAAATATGCAGGAGAATAATATTGTTATTGATTCCTTGTTCACACACATGTGCCAGTGCACACACCACACACAAATATAAAGAATTCTGTCCACGTATACCAAAGATGACTTCATGAAATAGCCTAAGTAAACATCCCTAAGGATTTATTTCATAATTAATTGACTACAAAAATTCATCACATCTCACTAGAAACCACCACCTATTCACCTAATATAGCACTTACGAGGCAATTAACGTGCAAGTGACTCCAAGCAGCTGGAGCCTTTGCTTTTCAACATAATTGTGAGAGAGAAACCGATCAATGAGATTTACTGTGAGGTAAAGTGTATCTGGAACCAGCTTATATTCTTCGGAAACCTGAAAGAGACATCAGTTAGTATGGATGCTTCCAAACAAGGGCACACCATTTCGTAGAAATACTATAGTCATTTGGTACATCCGATTACACTGACCTCTACAAGCCAATCAATCAAAATTCCTCGCATGCTTGGAGTGATATCTTGCTGCAATGTTTCCATATAAGTAGTTGACGGTCTTCGCTCCACCTGAGGAAGAATAAGTTTCCAACAAAAGTCAGAATCAATTATGTTACTGATGGACAGCAAATTAGTAGCTCACTAGTCCTTTAATTATTCTATGTTTCAAATTATATAGGAAATCTCACATTTCTCTGTCCTGTCAATACAAGTGAAGATTAAATATTGCAATAGTATTATGTTTATTAACAACGTCAGACTGTAGTAAATGGGCTCCAACACTAACCTCTATAAGGCTTATATTACTGTATATATCAGGGGCATACAAGCTGCACGCTTGAGGATCCTTTAAGTTTGAGTCAATATCCACGATGTCCAGGTCATTTGAGGATCCCGATATCTCCCAGACCATATTTTCTTCTGCATAGTCCAATGAAAAACATCATCAAGCTTTGCTAAAGTCAACATGAAAACAGAAGTCAGTAATAGAAATTATAAAGGTATCTTCTTTCTGTAACAAAGGAAATTCCATGATTGCCAAAGCGCGCATCAGCAGGTTGCATCAACTTTTCACAACCCCTTTAAAGCCAATCAAATTTTCTTGTAAACTAATAAACTGAAATTTCAACACTAAGAAAGACTCAATTTTGCAATCAGAAGGCTCGGAACAAAACTTGTCATCTTAGACCTTGCAAGCATCCCTCTTATGAAGTACAGACATAGAGAGCGGACACCCTTAAGTTAGCCAGTTTAAAAAGATAAGTCATATACTGTTGCACTCTCCTGAACAAATCTGAAACATAAAATGTACCTTTCTTTTGGGGGTTCTGAAGTTCAGCAGGTTCTGCGGAAGGCTGTATTCTAAGCATCAAATCTGCTCCTCTATGTTGTCCCAAGATATGACACATACCCTGGGGTACTGGCTCTTTTTCTCCCAACTTCACTGGCAAAGTGGCTTCTAGGGGTTCTGCCACCCTTATTTTGGATAATTCATCAGCTAACTTTGCTTTTGCGTCCTCTTGAACGATTGTACTTTCTTCCGAGACATTTGAGGCTGCCTTTACATTCTTTGCAAGACCTCTTCTGGCCTGCTTACTAGCCTGTCAGGGAGCAATACCAACAAATTCTAAGTTAGAATTACTTTAATGAACATACAGAAGCATGCTAGATCCTGCACATGCTTAAACAATGGCTTTGTGTCACAGACAAACCATATCCTCTTTTTCATTAATGGAGGTAACAATTAATTTTATTTAAAATCATGTGAGGCCTCTGGAGAAACATAGTATTCATTGACTATTCAATTTTTTTGCATATAGGGTTAGAAAGGGAAATATGCAAATCTGTACCTGAACCTGAGAGGCATCAGTGGTGCATTTCACATATGAATTTTCACAGATGACGTTTGCTACATCTTTAAGAACTGCCCTCCTTTTATGCTGCAAGCCAATGGTGGCAATTGCAGATCCTTTGTTCTCGTCTGATGCTGCTCTTTTGGAATTTGCTCGAACACCATGCTTCTGATCTTGTTTAAAGAAAGGTCTTGAGGAGGAGACTACCTCCCCGGAAGTGCCAAAGGCTTTAGCCCGTGCCCTTGTGATTCGGACGGTAGGCTCTCCAACTTTGGCAGCATTTGTATTTTCTTTATTCATCTTTGCCTACCTTGTAGAAGAGCAATGAGTGAATTCAGAAAGAATTCTTGTTCATTGAACCTGCATTTTCAAATCAGTTGATGTCAACAAGAGATACCGCGTCAGCCGACAAAAGCAAGCAGAACAAACCCAACCCGAGAAAGCATTCGGGGCCAAGTATGAAAGGATCAAAAAGACATGTTTTTTAATGATCACCAACAAAAATTTGATTTGTACATTGTCTTTTTGTGTAAGTTGATATCTCCTGTTAAACCAAATACTATTATCCATTTTACACAACAGAAGTTGGGAAGGCATCTTCGTCCCAACAATAAATCAAACCATTTTGTATTCTATTGAAAAAGAAAAATCATGGTGCTTTACTCTGTTTTCCTTTGACAAAACCCATGACAGCTTGCAATACAGGGCCTTAAATGAATATAACACAAAGGGTCCTACAGCACAAGCATAGAACAAATTTTCAGCTCTTCGTTCTTGTCGAAGTGAGAAAACCTTCGGATTTAGAAGAAAACAAGTGTTTTAATCCACCGTTGGCTGGTGTTACTTAAATTACAGGAGAAACTCACTTCAACCCAGCCCAGTTGACCAAACATTTTTCATTTTTCGTCGGTCCAGAGTGCATGAAAGACAAATGTTTTGCAGCCTTGTATTTCTCTGACACATTTTTCCCAGTAACCAAACAGAAGAAAAAACATTTAATAAGAACCCGAGACACCGTAAAATCCAACCCCAAAACCCTAATTTCTTCAAAATTTTCAACTATCACCGCACCAGATCGTCAAAACCATAACAAAACATAAAATCGCAAACACATTTGACAAAAGGCGGACCAAATTCCAAACGATAAAAATGTTAAAAAATATAAGAATTTAAAAGAACAAAAATGGGAAGAGCCAGAGCCGAGATCTATGTAGCGAACCCGTCAGGCGTAAAAGGACGTAGTTCCATTAGAATCTGGCGGTGGAAAACAGAGCGACGAAGCTCAAACAACTAGAATGCAAAAAAAAAAAAAAAAAAACTATGCACGGCTATGCGTTTGGGAGCTGAGCTTACTCTGTTGGTGGAAGCTCCGGCACCTTCTCCGGTGAAGGTTTGAAGAGCTCGGGGGAAGAAGAAGAATCAGAGGAAATATGGAGGCTAGCTTCGGACAGAGAATTGTGTAGAAGTGACAGTGAGTGTGAGAGAGAGAGAGAGAGTGTGTTGATATAAGGGAGAGAGAGGGAGAGAGAGGAGCGTGAGCGGGACGGGGTTTACAGTTTGAACTTCCAAAATTCCAAATGGAAGCCAAAAAGCAAAAAATATGTATTTTTTTTTGTTGTTTTGACTTATTTCCGCTGAGTGTTTTGTATTATTTTATTTCACTTTTTAACACATAAGGTGAGAACTGAGATTCATATTTTGATGGGTTATGAATGTTTTATTTTCTTCAAATATCTACCTTTTTATGTTATGTTCTTATACTGTGAATATATTAATTATCGATCCGGACATTAATACTATAGAGGCGAGTTTCTCACTCCGAGTGTGGTACATTTGCACTCTTTTCGTAACATCACCTAACCGGTTAAAAATTTATCCTAATATAGAGGAGTTTTATTAACCAAGACGCTTAAATGCCAATATATATGAAAAAAAAAACTTGTGTGTCGCAGGTTCATACCCATTTCTCTTTCTCTTCATCTATCAAGTTACGTGAAGAGAAATATAGCAGGTATAGGTAATTGATGTAATAAAATTTGAAGAATATGTGAGTATTTGTAGTCTTTTTCTATTAAACTTTTGTCTTTTTAAAATTGTTTTTTTTTAATCAATTTGTAATATAAATATCCGGAGTATTAAATATGATGTGAAATGGGTTGAGCTGTAACAACCCATTTGAATAAGTGTTTAGAAAATAATATGGAATTATTTGCTCATTAATATATCATTGACCCTACTACAAGCAAGGGCACGCTGACCTCTAAATTTGTGACCTAAATGAAAATTTTGAAAGGTCCCTATCACCTATGCTAGTATGCTAGTATGCTATTATGCTAGATGCCAAGATAGGGGCAAAGGCCGCCGTCCCAACTCCCCAAGTCGGACTTTTGAATGAGGCATAGGTAATGCATACTTTATTTGGGCAGTTTTAATGACACATCCATTTGTTGCGATTCAAAATTTTGATTAATTTCTCTCTCCAATGCTCGAAAATTTCCCGAGTTCAAATTCTCTATTTTCCATTTCAAATTATTAAGAATTATGCTTTTTCATGATCATCGATGACCACACGACGTGCACATACACTTAACTAGTGGAAAAATCTACGTTTATTTCTATTTATAAAATAAAAAAAGTTCAAAGTATGGTTGGTTTCGATTGAGTAAATTTTGGTGTTTTAGTGATTCAAATTTTTCTCTCCTTATCCCCCATGAGAGAGGGAATTGACAAAAAGTCAAAATGGACTTCATATGAATCTCAACATTTTGAAACAAATGATTTCAGAGTAATTTGGGTAAACTCGACTGAATTTCCAGTTGGGTTTTCTTCAACATTGACAAATCAATAATCTTTGATTGGAAATGTATTTTTAAGACTGATCCAGTTAGCCCCCCCATGTGTGGTGGTCAGGTTCAAATGGTTTCAGCAGAAATGGAAATGACTTGAGTTGTCTTCTTATAATTTATGACAAACTTGCGGTTTTTGTCCATTATTTATTTTATCTATAACGATTAAAAAAAATTAAGGAATGTTAAATATTTATGTTTTTAAAATTATAAAAGGGAGAAAATATGAGAGTAATTAGAGATATTGAAGATATTTTATTTTATTTTATTCATAATTTTTTTTGCATTTTCTTTAAAAACCAACAAATTAATTATCACTTTTGTAACCATAGAAATGTCATCCAAGGAAGCCCTTAGATTTTGGATCGAGTCACTCAATATATGGTAAATCATGAAAAAAAAATATAGAAATTTTATTTTCTAAAATCCAGTGAAACATTCCCCAAATCTAGTGAAAAATTCCCCAAATCTAATGAAAAATTTCCAAAGAAAAAAGAGAGAATAATTCTAGTCATATATGGAAATTGTTTTTTTTTGGGGGGGTAAGAATTATATATGGAAAGTTTGAAATTAACAGTCAAATATCTGGTGGAAGTTATTTATTTATGTGAAAAAAGAAAAAAAAGAAAGAATGGTTGTCCTGATTTCTGAAGCCCATTTAAAAACTTTGCAGATCCAAAAGCCGAAGTGGTCCATGGTGGCCCTCACTACGCACTCCTACGAGGTGGGCCCAATCCCTTTTGACACAGTGAAAGAAGTCCTCAGCGGGAGGCAAAGTGCGTGTGTTTGATGAGGTCCCGACGAATCTATATTGGAAAAAGACACTTGAAATAAAGTTTTAATTTCCAGACGAAAAAATATATATAAAGTTTTAATTTATTTGAAATGAATGATGAATAATCATAAAAAACATTGACTTTAATTTAAAAAGGTTGTAATTATAAGAGAGAGCTTGGGTTTAGGCAGGCTCTTCCAAAAAGTGTAAATAAAAGATGCCCAAATTCTGCTCCGCTCCTCCCTTATCACCTTTTCTACAGTGAGAACAACTTCACATAAGCTTCTCTCCATATCGCTTGACTTAAGGCTTATGAAGATGGGAATGAAAAGCAACCATGGTAAAATTATGACTTTAATTCCTGATATAGGGGGAATTGAATTCCTGAGGGGTAGGTGGAATTAGGCAAGGATGAACCGGAATGACCTTTTTTTTATACCCAAATTGTCCTCGTATATTTTGTGACACACACCAAAATACAACATTATATGCCCTTCGGCAAAAAAAGGGGAGAGACGAATAACACTTGAATCGAACTTCGCAACAATGCTTACGTGTCATCTAAATAAGCCTCGATACAATCTGATACGACAAATGTGGATCATAATTCATAATCTGGTCTCTTACTTTTTCCACTGGGGGATCCTCTGAACCACAACCTGCAACCCACAATCAGAACAATATTTGAATAACATAAGTAATTAAATCCATTCTGAATGTCTGGGTTTAAAAAGCATAGGATTTTTCCTTCTTGTTTTGAAGTCAAATCAAGATAAAAAATATTTTTGAAAATAGTTTACACGTACGAATAAAAAATAAAAGGAGAGTGGTGAGAGGTACCTTCCCAGAATTTTCCTTATTTCCGACTATAGTCTGACAAGCAAGTCTCCAAGATTCGGGTTTCTGTATGTTGTTTTACCCAATGTAAAAATAGAAATTTACTAACAAAAAGTGAAAAGAAAACCCACATTTACAGGAAAAAAAAAAAAGGAGATTGGTTTATCAAGAGAGTGTAGTGTTTTTCATGGGGAGAGAGAGAGAGAGAGAGCTTGCCTTCTTCAAATACTTGAGTTCAGTATTTGTTCTTTCATTCAAAAGGTCCTTCCCATCAATAATCTGCACCCAGAAAAAAAACCAAGGAAATTAGCTGAAGCCTTCCATCTTCCACAAGTTTTTTTCAACTCAAGAAACTAGCGAAGACACGATATAATATGAATGTTGAGAATATTCATACCTCTACTATACAAGTCCCACAGCTTCCTCCACCTCCACAGTTCATCAGTTTCCCCTACAATTATAATTGCAACACCTTTTTCAATCACTTGTATTTCACATATTTGCTTATTATTCTGAAGTTCTATGTAATTATGCTAGACCCTAGCCCCATAAGGTGTGTCATGTACGTGTAGTTCGGTTCACACGTTGCATACAGGGAAGGGAATCGAACTCGAGTGCAAGAGGAAAGACACACTGACTTAATCAACTGGTCTAACCCACACCTTCTATTATAACAATGTGATTTATTGGTTTATTTTAATTTTGGGTTTGAATGTGCATTGATCCAATAGGGCCCGTAGTTATTGGGCTGTGATACCCAATTACAATTTACAGAGACGGCGCACGTTAGAAACTGTGGCAGGAAATAACTAAATTACGCGGGACGCAATGTGAGGTAGTTAGTTAGCATTGAAGAGTGAGAGAGCACTCACATACGTGGCGTAGAGCTCGATCTTGTTATCCGACATGACATCCCTCAGCAACTTCTCTCCACTGATCGCCTTCGCGCTCTCCACCGGATACGACCCGTCGTTCCCGGGCTTCGGCTAACCCAACCACCAAAACCAATCACAAAACTTCAGACAAATATCTAGTAATTACATAATTTCATACTAAAATAAATAAATAAAACGGCATACCCCTATGAATTCGAGCTCGATTTCGGGCTTTCCGGGCTGAGCTGGAGACATTTCTGCCGCAATACCGGCGAAAGAGAACGAAACGGACTTCCTTCTGGGGAGATTTTGGTAATCTCGGGTCCTGGCGCCGGAGAGTTGCTCTGGCCGGAACGACACGGCGTTTGTGAATTGCATGCAAGCCATGTTGGATTTGGTGTGTGCTTCTCTCACTCACACACTCTCCTCCATTTCGTTTCGTTTTAAATAGGCAAAAATAGTAAAAACGAAGTTGAGGTAGGGGTATAGTGGTAATTTTAAGTTTACTGAAACTAACAAGTTTTGAGCTCAGTGACAGTGAGTCTCTCAGTCTCGGAGCTCACTAGTTGTTATGCCCTCTCACAAAACCCGCCATTTTCTGTCTTTGGCGCTCCTCCTCTTCAAACCAAACCCTAACCCTAACCTTCGTGCTCTCTCCTTGCGATTCTTCTCCAACCAGTCATGGCTTTCCGTACGAGGCAACCCCATCATCAAGTGGCCCTCGCCGCCCGACGCACCCTGCTCTCTTCCGCACCCGAACCCCGCCCCAAACCCTAACCATAACCCTAATAGCTCCGGCCCCAATTTTTCACAAAATGACTTCTCTACCATCGCTAACCTTCTCGCCGACCCTAGCATTTCCCCCGGTTCATCGCTCCAGAGCGCATTGGACCGGACTGGAATCGAGCCGGGTCCGTGTCTGTTACAGGCTGTGTTCGACCACTTCGATTCGTCTCCCAAATTGCTTCACACGCTGTTTCTTTGGGCAGAAAAGCGGCCGGGGGTTCGAACCTCTGTGACGCTCTTCGGCTCCATGATCAATGTGCTTGCTAAGTCGAGGGAGTTCGAGTCGGCTTGGTCTCTGATTCTTAATCGGATCGGTAGAGATGAGGAGCCTGGTTTGGTTTCTGTAGATACGTTTGTGATCATGATCAGACGGTATTCCCGCGCAGGTATATTGCTATGTGATTGTAATAATGTACTTAATTGAATATACAATTTTAATTTTTAGTTTAATTATTGAGTTTTCAAGTTAAATTGGGCATCTTGGATTTTTTATACATGTGGTGTAGGCCTAGTTTATGGTTCTCAAATTGATTGAATTTGATAAATGGTTAGTTAGAGTTGCGAGTTTACACGTTGGTAATCTCTGCATAACTTTGGCCCTGCACAATTTGAAGAAAAGTTCTGAGCTTGCATGTACTACTTAGTTGGGGTTGCCTAAAGTTGCTTGTATTCTGAAATTATATTTGGGTTTTATGGATTAGGTGGCTTGCATATGCATTTGTGTTAGACCTGTTTTTGGTATTGATTCACTACTTTTAAATCCATCATCCTTTCCGGTGGTGGTACAATTTATGCAGGTATGTCCCAATCTGCAATCAGGACTTTTGAATTTGCAAGTAATTCAGACTCGTTTCTCAATTCAGAGTCAGAAATGAGTTTGTTTGAAGTTTTGTTGGATTCCCTTTGTAAGGAAGGCCTTGTTAGGGTGGCTTCAGAGTACTTTGATATGAAAAGAAAGTTGCATCCAGATTGGATTCCATCAGTTCGGGTTTATAATATACTGTTGAATGGATGGTTTCGATCAAGGAAGCTGAAACAGGCAGAGCGGCTTTGGGCGGAGATGAAGAGGGATAATGTGAAACCTAGTGTTGTAACATATGGTACACTGGTTGAAGGATATTGTCGGATGCGTCGTGCTGAAATTGCAATTGAATTGGTGAGTGAGATGAGGAGTGAAGGAATTGAGCCCAATGCAATTGTGTATAATCCAATAATTGATGCGTTGGGGGAAGCTGGGAAGTTCAAGGAGGCATTGGGGATGATGGAGCGCTTTCTGGTCCTCGAATCAGGCCCTACTATTTCAACATACAATTCGCTGGTAAAGGGCTATTGCAAGGCCGGAGATCTTGTAGGGGCTAGTAAGATCCTTAAGATGATGATAAGTAGGGGTTGTGTCCCTACTCCAACAACCTATAACTATTTCTTTAGGTACTTTTCAAAGTTCGGGAAAATTGAGGAGGGAATGAACCTTTATACCAAAATGATTGAATCTGGGTATACCCCAGATCGGCTTACTTTCCATCTTTTGTTGAAGATGTTGTGTGACGAGGGGAGATTGGATTTGGCAGTTCAAGTTAGCAAGGAAATGAGATCTAGGGGATCGGATATGGATTTAGCGACAAGCACCATGCTGATTCATTTGCTTTGCAATATGCATAAATTCAAAGAGGCTTTTGCAGAGTTTGAGGACATGATACGGAGGGGTTTAGTTCCTCAGTATCTTACTTTTCAGAGAATGAATGACGAGTTAAGGAAACAAGGAATGACTGAGATGGCGCATAAGCTGTGCAACATGATGTCTTCCGTTCCTCATTCAACAAATTTGCCAAACACATATGTCAGAGAAAGAGATGCATCTCATGCAAGGAGAAAATCTATAATCCAGAAGGCTGAAGCAATGTCTGATCTGTTGAAAACTTGTTCAGATCCAAGAGAACTTGCCAAGTATAGAAGTTCGCCTGAGAATGTTGTATCAAGAGCGAACCAGTTGGTAGAGGATATTAAGAGAAAAGCTAACATCCAATGACATATATTTTTGCAAAGCTAACATCCAATGATATATATTTTTGCTTTTCTTGGGTAACAGGCATTAAGTTTTGGATTCAGTTGGCATTCTCTGAAAGGAAGGTAAACAGGAGTTTACTGCAGGATACAGAGGAAGTTTGCCAGCAGAAGAAATAAAGACTCTTTAAATTCATGTGCATTTTGGTAAAAGTTCGATATTTATATGGGACAACTACTTTTGGAGGGCTACCTTTATATGGATTCAGACTACTTGTAACGTTAGAAACTTTTTGCAATGTTGTAGCTGTGCAGCATTCTGAATCCTGATGGACGTCTATTATGCAGTCAAGTGGTTTGAATGCAGGTTCATCACACGTACAAACTGCGTTGTGGTGGTACAAGTAAAGAGAGAGTATGAAAGAGACTATGAGACATAACTGGATGTGCGTCTGGACTTTGGAGTCTGGGGGCCCTCAAGGATGGTGAAGTCTGTGTCCTTTGTAAATAGACGGCAGTCGACCATTGAAACAGGAACGCGCATGGTATGTACGTTAGTTTCCAACTATTGACCTTTTAATCAAGAGCACATGAAGCTTCCTGATTTAAAAAAACAATCCGTTAATTTGATTTGACGCATTCAAGTCAAATTGGTTTAGTTTCTTATGCTGCTGACCCTTGATCAAGAAATATGTTATTGTTGACACGCTGTTAAATATATTATTTTCAACTTGCAGTGTTTTAACTTAGAGGAATGCTATTCACAATCGCTCAAAAGCGATTGTCTCATGACTTGCTAGACACGTGGATACACAACCGCTTGCTGCATTCTCCTTCCTTTTTTTAATTATTGTTTCTCTTTCTTCTCTCGATTTTGCCTCTCTCTCCTTTTTTTAATTATGTTTTCTCTTTATTCTCTCGGTTGCCTCTTCCTTTCTCTTTTTTAATTCTTTTTTCTCTTTCTTCTCTTCTTCTCTCCGTCCGTCCGTCTCTCTGTCTCTCTATTTTTTTTTTTGGGTAAAAGGAGGAGCAAAAGCCCAGCAACAGAGAGACTACAAAGGAAGAAGGCGAGGTCTGGAGGTGCCAATGGCATCAGCAGCCAGAGTTTCAATAAGAGACGTTGGAGGCAGATCAAAAATTTGAATGCCAGGAGCCAAATCAGCACACATTGCAGCCAAGGCATCCGCAGCAGTATTCATCTCGCGATAGATATGATGGACAACACAGTTCCAATCACCATGAATCTTTAGTTTGCAATAATTGATGACATTAGAGAGAGGATGGTTGGCTCCAGTCGGGTTGTTAATTAAGTCCACAGCAACAATGGAGTCACACTCAATCTCCACAAGCCGAATCCCAGCATCCCAAGCTAAAGAGAGCCCCCAGAAAATGCCCCATAATTCTGCCTCAAGGATAGAACCCACTCCCAATTTTCCAGTAAATCCCTTGAGCCAAGCACCATCAGCATCTCTTAATAAACCACCAGCACCAATCTCTCTCTCTATTTCATCTGGGTAGCTCTAGTTTTTAGTTTTCTTATTGATTCATTACTGGTTTGGGGGAAATATTTGCTTTTTATTTTTCGTGATCCCTCTCTTGTGCTCTTGTTCATAAAGTGGGTATCTTTGGTTTTGGTTAATTTCGTGATTTGAATTGTCATGTCTTTGGGTGTTTGAAACCTGTGACCTGTGAAATAAGGAGGAGGAGAGGAGAGAGAGAGCGATGGAAAATGAAAATAGAGATGGAGACAGACTGAGAGAAGAAGAAGAATAAAAGAGAGAGAGAGGCGGAGAGAAGAAGAAGAGAAGAAAGAATTAAAAAAGAGAAAGAGAGAGGTAACCAAGAGAAGAAAGAGAAAACGTAATTAAAAAAAGAGAGAGAGGCAAAATCGAGAGAAGAAAGAGAAACAATAATTTAAAAAAAGGAATGGAAATGCAGCAAGCGTTTGTGTATCCACGTGTCTAGCAAGTCATGAGACAATCGCTTTTGAGTGATTGTGAATAGCATTCCTCATCGCTTTTGAGCGATTGTGAATAGCATTCCTCTTTAACTTAACTCGAAGCATTGGGACACATGACATATAACATTATGATATTACTTCTTCTGAGGTCTATTTTTTGGTTGTCTTTGAATCAGGCTCACTGGATGCCCTGTCTTTGCATGTGGACTTGTGCATTTGGAATATGTCGAAGGTCCTCAAATACACACAATTACATAATAACATGGGTTGAAGAGAAGTCTTCGCATATTTTTTTGTTCGCAAGTGCATAAGATGCAAAAGAGAAAGAACCATCAAAACGAGCTACCAGCCGTTCTATTTTTGTGTGGCAGTGTTGTATTACTAGCAGCTTTTTTATAAAATATTTTTTTCCTTGGTCAAAGGTTTTTTAAGCATTTAAGTTTTGGTCTTTAGAGGGATGGAGGACAATGGACATGTTAGAGATATAGTCCAATCCCCATGGAAGTTTCCGTCAAGTTGGAATGGGCTTCACAGTATTTTTGCACTTATGTTCGATTGTGCTAGTCAATCATGCATGATGAGACTTGTATGGACAATTGGATATATGTGATGCCTGAGGGCCAATTGACAGACAAAAGCCTGAATGAGATTACATTTGGATTGTCAAGGGATTTGGGCAAATCCCAAGATTTATCCTTGTCGAGTAAAATAAAACGAGAAGGTAGTCGCAGAGTAGCTATTCTTAATCACTTGAGATACAAACAACTATTTTAGGTCCTGTTTGGTTTATGGGAAAGGAGGCTTGGGAATGAGAAATCAATTGCTTTATCATATTTGGTAGTCCATACAGAGGAAATGACTGCTTGACACATGAGAAGGTAGGGGGGAAAGTGAACCTCTCCTCTCAACTTGAGTTTTGTTTTCCCTCTTCATGGGAAAGTTTTGAAAAATGAGTCAACATTAAATGCATATTTTTTATGACCATTTTGTCTCTATTAACAATTTAGAATTACAATATATCATAAAATGCATTTTTATTTTATTTGATTTAATATGGGTATAATTAGAAAATTATACAAATTTCATTTTCCATTCATACTCAAAACAAATATGGTAAATAAAATAAAGTGATATTTCTCGGTTACTTTCCCGGCATTACCAAATGTGGAAAAGGTATCTTCCATTTCTCATCTTTTGAGAAATGATATGAGAAGTAATTTATCCTCAAATACGTTCCGTCAATCAAACAGGATCTTAGAGTGTCGATAACAACTCTCTTGAAGATGTCATTCCCTCCCACTAGCAAAAGAAATTACATATGTCAATGTAGAAGCACAGTTGTATTTCTGTGCATAGCTTGTGAAAATCTCTGTCTAGCATGGAAGGCAAGGAGATTTGGGGGAATCTTTGTGTCAACTCACCACCACTGCATCCAAGACAAGTAAAGTCGAAAAAAGAGGAATTATTACTCACAGAAGTCTTACTGGGAAGAGTGGAAACAACACTTTTCGCTATCCTAGTTAATAACGCATCCCAGTCAATAACGTAATAACATGTAGAATAATTTTTTCACGTGTCATCGTATTATTAGTTGAATAGCAAAACAGTGTTATCTTCGTTATATGTAAAAAAAAAAAAATTGCTTACTGGGCACAACAACTAGCCAGCCACTTTCCACAAAGAACTCAGAGAGAGAGAGAGAGTTTAATAATAAAAAACAGCGTTTATTTATTATAATTATGGTTAATTTCAATTCAATGATGAATGTTTGAGTGAGAGAGAGTTGAGTTGGGCAAACGAGGTTGGGTTGGGTTGGGGGTGGAGGTCTTCGCACGATGCCCCAAGTCGGAAAACGACGGCATCGGGCTTTGGTGGTGGTTTGCAGTCAACAAAAGTACTTGAGAAGTTAAGAAGTTGAGAGAGAGAGAGAGAGAGAATCTGTGCCTCAATATTCTTCCCCCACTCGTCGGTTTTTAGCTTCCACACATCAATTCCCACTCTTCACTCATTTTTCTCTTTTTATAATAATAATAATAATAAGTAATAATCGAAATCGAAATTAAAATCAAGTATATTGTAGGCAACAAGGTGAGCACATAAACATTACACTTCATAGTAGTAATGCCACATTGCATAACTTTTTTTTTTTCCATTGAAATCTCTTGTCCATAACATGACTTATATGGAGTGCTTTTATCATATGATTTTCACTTTTATGCTTGATATATGCACAAGATGGATGTGAACGATATATACATGACGAACCCATTTTTATGGATGCAAAGGTTTTGTATGAAAAGTAAGAACAAAAAAATATACAAGGTTAGAACCAAAGAGATTCTAAATACATTCTAATTCTTGATATGCCTTAGATTATCACAAGGAAAACTGATAAGTCTAAATTCCTTATTGGTACAATTTTGAATGGTAAATACTAAGTTCGTGAGTAACTAGATTCAAATTATCATATAAAAAGTCTCACTCTATATCCTATCAATTGCATCGGACTCAAATTAGATTCGAATCAAAATTCAACCATGGACAATTATAACTGATTTGATACTTATTCTTTTAGATATGTATAACATGCATCTAGGTCTCAAATTTATAAAACATGAACAAAAAGATAGGCTTGTTTTTAAGATTATTTGTTTAATAAAGAAAGAAGATATCCGATAACATAATTATGAAGAAAAAAAAACACACAAAGGGATTTTTTATTAAGAAAAATAGCAAGGAAAAAGGATTTTTTTATGAAAAAGCAGTCACTGGCAGTGAGCCACGTTAGTGCATACACACAAAGGCACAAAACCCTCGTCGTACGCTATCTTTCTCCCCATTGCTTCTTTCTTTTGCTCTCCCAATGCAAAAACAACAAAAATAATTGCCAGAAAAAAACACACAAACACACACACCTCCCAACCCAAACATATATTCTCACACAACCAAACAACCAAACAACCCAACCCCCACACACAGACACAGCATTTTTAAGCAAGCAGAGAGAAGAGAGAGAGAGGAAAAACTCAGAAATGCCCAAGCACAAGTCACAAACACTTGCCCAAGAACCTTTTTCTTTTTAATGCTCTCTCTCTCTCTCCCTCCCTCGGTCTCTGCTCATAAAGACCCCTGATTCTCTCTTTTTCTTTTTCATTTTCTTTTCTCTTTTCTGAAAATCGTGCTCTCTTTTTATGCTCTTTACACAAACACAATCACACTCTGTCTCCAGCTAGCAAATAAGCTTTGCAGAGTGGTATGGCTATGGGGATGAAATGGCTGTACTGATAATGGCTCAGCAAGGCGTGCCCAACAATGCCACTACTAACAACAGTAGCCAGCAGCAGAAACAGAAGCAAGAAGAGCAGCTATTGAAGCCCATCTTTCATGACTTTCTGGGCATGAAGCCTGGTGATTCCCCTGTCGTTTTGGCCCCCAAAGCCTCTGATTGTAGGCTCTCTGAGGTCTCACCCTCAGCTTCTGCTTCACTTGGGGCTTCTTCGGGTGGTGGCCGTGGGCCCATCTCTACCACCTCTGATCTGGGTTCTGGTCAGTCACTCCCCATTTTGTTAAAAAACTGTTTCTTTTTCCCCCCTGTGATTTTATTTTTGTTCATATATGTAAAAGAAAAAAACCCAGACCTTATCTCATTTTGTTTTCCTTAAATATAGTTGCTTTTATATGTTTATTTAATCAGCTAAAAAAGTTTTTACCTTTACTAATTTTTATTTTTTGGAGGAGGGGAGGGAGGGGGCTCTTTTGTTTCGGATGGCTTTGATATATTCATGGGGGGTTTGGAACTTTCTCATGTGAATGAGTGAGTGAGTAATGAGTGAACATGCAAAATAAGAAAGATGGGGGTTGGTTTCTAACATGGATTAGTTAGTGAAGTCAGTAAGGAGTTTGGTTGCTGTTGTGGGTTTTTCTTTTCCCCCTATGCTTTTGATTTGTTAAGTCTTCTTTTTAAGGATAGGTTGAATCAAAGGCAAGCTGTTCACTTACTTTTCCTCTTCCCTATTGGGCTCTCTTTATCTTTTGTAAGCATGTTGCCGGAGCATTTGGAATTAGGTTTGCGAAAAATGATGCTTAAATGTTTTTATCCATGTATTGTCATTTTGCAATGTGGTGGGTTTTTGTTTTTGTTTTTTATGTTACCAATTGGGCAATGGAGAAAGTTGAGAGTGCTAGTAAAAAATTTATCATTACAAATAAAGTGAGACTTAATTAAGTGTAAGCACCTCATTCTGATGAACATTTTTTTTTTCATAACATGTTTTTGTTATATTGTTAGCCTTTTTTGTCCGTGTATGAACATTTACTACCAATCTTGAAGCTTATCTGTTACGATTGTATTACTGAAATTTCGACACCTGAAGTGCTTATCCCTTCTGATTTAGGATTCTGTATATTTACATTTGAGTTTGGTTCATTGTCTTGTGCCATTAAATTTTGTAGAAAGACAAGCTGGAAATCATCTTGAGGGTGTTCCATTCTATGGCCCGAGGAGTGATATTTCTGGGCCTGAGATAAGTAACAGGTTACTAGGAAGTAAGAGGAGTAATTCAGACTCCACTTTTAAGGGCTCATCCAGAGATGGGCTCCCTCATACCGGTCCTGACTCCCTCGAGAGCTCACATTTGATGAAGGTATGAGATTGACATCTTGCAATATTCTTATTCTATTCTTGCAAATGGGAAAAAGCCCCGTCTATGGTTTCTTCATCTGATGCCTTTTAGTTATCCTGAAATTCAGATGCTTCGAAATGGACCAGGGGGAGAGCGACCTAGAAGGTCCAACGACGATGAAGCAGTCTTTGCTACACAGCCGCTGAGGCCAACTTCTGCCTCACACATTTTTCAGCCTCCACTTGGTGGTAGAGTTGATACCAATATTTCCAAATGGGACAGATCCACTCCCATGAATCTGGGTGCTGCAGTACAGTACCCTCCACGAGGAGGTCATTTCGTACCCTTTGTGCATCAATTACCTTCAAACAGATTTAGGGATGCCAATGCCAGTCCAGCTAATATCTCTCAATCAGCTGCTGATGAGGGATCTAGAACTGGAATCAAAGGCCCGGGAATTTTGAGTTCCATTAATGCCAGCAGTAGTGCTCCTGAAAGAAACTCTTCTGGGGTGCTGCCTAGTGGCAGCAGGCAGAAATCTGGGACTAATATTTTAGAGCCAGAACCTTCTACTCCAAGGTAAACCTAATTATACAATGTAGAGGACATTCTCCTCTGTTGCATTTGTTTGCTTTCATTGAAGTAAAAGGACATTTGATGCCACATCTTTTTTCTGTTGTCATGGCAGTCGACATGGATTTACGTCTGCTGGTCGGCAGATGACCATATTCTATGGCGGTCAAGCTCACGTCTTTGATGATGTCCATCCAAACAAGGTATGCTTTCTTACTG